GTGTCGGTCACGTGTTGGTGAGGAAGTTCATACGTGAAATTGGCGTTAGATATCTTCATACAGTCTTCCAAAGTTCTAATAAATGTATCACAGGTAGCACCCAGCAGGCTAGTTGCTTCGTCCAGTTTCTATAAATGGGAAATAATTTAATTTTGACGAGACAGATGTCGACAAACAATATTTGGCTCGCAACCGAGCAGAGCCTTACCTGCACTTCTGGACCACCTTCTTGAGTAACAGCTGTCTTAACCATGTGTACTTGTTGCATCAGTAGGTCACAGTACAGTCTCAGCTCAGACTTTTTGGATTTAAGTGTATCAGGATTGGAATCTACAAATAAACGATAATACACTTGAATAAGGACGTACTTATACGATGCGTAGGGCACAGAAAAAGTGTCAAGGATTGTATCATGATAACCACATAATCTTTTATGTGGTTACCAGCATTCAGGAGGAACATATAATCTCTATTTCCAGAGTAGAATGCAATACATTCCTCCAAATCATTCGTTACCACCTACAAGATTACGCAGCACAACAACCCAGAAAACCACTATCCTTATTTTCATCAAAATAACCTCAAATTTCACAGTTTATTATTTGTTCTACATTTAATGATGATGACAGTAGCTCAGACTACAAAGTGTTGAGCAACGTAATCGTTACCGGGTAACGACTTGTAAAGGATGTGGAAGGAAGGAGTTATGGCCTAAATGAAAGGTACAATACCAGCATTTACTTGGAAGGACCGAGGAAACCCATGAAAAAACCTATTAGGAAACTGGTCTTGAGGCTGAAATTTCAACTTGGGACTTGGTGAACATGAAAACAAGAATGTTAACCACTCAGCTGTGATGTTCAGTTCAAATCAAATTAAATTCCTTGGGCAAGGAATGAAAATAATATTTAAAACTGCAACCCAAGAATCTTGTTTGTCGTGGTGATATTTAGCTGTTCAAGAAATTCTATATTACTTTAAAATCTGAAGGTTCATCACCACCACAAATGATTAATCCTGAGCTACTTTAACCCAGACTGCAAACTATAATTCCAAGATTAATTTCAAAACTGTATCACTTTCTCTAGTGTTCTCTTTCCATGGGAATTTCCAACAAAAACACTGTACATGCCTGGTCCATGTCGACCACCGTATTTAACCACCCACAAATTACAAATATTCTGAAGAACATGCAATTAAATTCAGTAGCTGACTCTCTGCTGAGCTAATTTAATTTAATTCCTCCTCCCAAAACCTATTTATCTATGGTAAATTTGGTACATTATTGACATGCAATAAACTTACGTAATAAAATTAAGGAAATTTTTAATCTGTAGTTATAACACTTAAAGAGCAGGGTCACCTGAATCTTTCCTGTTCCTGGTGGTGACGCAGGCTTTAGCACTTCCCAGTGCCACAAGCCACTGTTGCCGTTCTTGCGAAGTTGCAGCTCTCAAATAAATATGTTGTTCTCCAGGAATAACAAGATCCATACGTGTACTATCAACAGGATTAACTGAAAGAAGTTTGTTTCACATACCATATTTCCTCAATTTTAAAACACCATTGTCAATTGTAAGACACACCACTGATTTAGTAATAGGTGCTCAGGAGAAAAGATCCTACATCGATTCTTAGATGCAACCAAATATAAAATATAACCCAATTCCAGAAATTTTAAAATGTGAAGAAAGTGCAACAAAATCGATAAAATACAGTAATTTAAATACAAACTGTGAACTCATAGTGCTGATTACACCTCAATATCTTGTAGATATAATCAATACTATTGATAAATCACCATAAAGTAAACCAAGAACCATTGGCATTGGCAAGATCCAGTACATTTTGAATGGGTAAAAATTACAAGATTAATTGTATCATTTAAGAGAAGCTTTGTTGAGTAAATATTTTTACAGTAATACCGTAGTAGACTGTAAGTCACTGTCACAAATGTGCAATTTTATGTTTTTATTAAAAACAAGCATTGTACTTTTTCTATGACATATTATACATCCTTGACTTAGCCCTATAAATTATCTATGAAATGTAACTAAATTCTATTATATTTTATTCTATTCAATACCAAAAGAAAACTATGAAATTTCAGTCCGGTGAGCCGTCTTCTATGAATGAAAACAGTTCAAATAAAAACAAATGATAACCACAACACATCTACGTCAGCATAACAGTAACTGAAAATTTTTGGGACACTGCTTAAATGCGATTAGTTGTGATTATAATTACCTATAATTTCACATGCTGTTACTTTCATTGAACCCTTACAGCCTTGGTTCACTTCTTCTTGAGACTTGTAATATGCCAACACACCGTTGTCAAGAATAAACCATCTTGTTTGCCATCCTGTAAGAAACAATTACACAAAATTAACGTAATGTCGCCATTTTGTTTTTTCACCTGCACTGAGAAACTCAAAAATGGAGCTTACCGCTCCAGTAATTTGTCCATTTCCACAAAACCCCTTCCATTACGTCAAATTGACAACACACATCCGTCACATTCACACACAGCCCTCTCGAATAAAATACACCGTGTCCGCACCAAAGATTACAGCCTACAACCTACTTCTTACTCTACCACTTACTTCCGTTACAAACATCTTTGGGTGATAAAGCCTACCAACATCACAATTATGTCATGTAATTTTGACTTTCTACTGCTATAGGCAAATTGCGGGTTACTGCCTTAATTTAGACTAGATATGCTTAGCTTCCATGTGGTTTGAACTACATAATTCACTTATAAATGAACGCCACATACGAATAGTGCGAGCTACTTACAACGTACTGAACAGGCTTCTGATGATATTAAAATTTCATAAAACTTCTGTAACATACCCACCCTTTCACCAGTTACAACAGCTGCTGTAAATACAATCCATATCAATGGATTTCACGTTCTCGCCCGAAAACTAAAATTAGCAGTTTATTGGGTAAAAAAGAACATTTCAGAGGGGAAATCATTGTCGAGTTGGCAACACTGGTGCGTATTGTCGAACCTGGTCAACAAGGAAACAAGTGAAACGGAATTTGGGGCGTGGTGTTAAAATATATGTTTTTAATACTACAAATACGTTATGGATTTCCGTTGTATTTGTATTTTTGTTTTAATAGCGATTTTTGCTTTACTTCATGAAGGTAAGTTATTATCTTAATACGTTTAAAGTATTGATTATCCCACGTTAAATTTGAAGTGTAAATAAGGTTATGTTTATTTTGTTACGCTACTTATGTGAAATAATGATAGAATATAAATAAGACCGGAGTATTGAGGTTTTACGAGGAATACAGTTGCTCATAGATCCCACGCTTGGATATAAAATTAACAAAATAATAAACGGCAGGTCAGTTTCTTATGTATGAGTTGAGGTTGGCTGTTCAAGTTTAAGTAGGATTATCAGCTTGTCAAGAACGATTCGACTCCATAGAGTTAGGTGGTTTTATGCATAATTTTCCGTACTTATAATGTACATTTTAAATAGTTTTTAATAGAATTTACTTTGTACTTAATCATGTATGTATTGTAAACAGCAATGATTTGTTTCAGGCAGTGGACTTGAATGCTACGTTTGCACAAATCAGGAACGTAATGGAGATAAGTGTCTAAACACGATAAAGACTTGTGAGCAGGGTGAAGATGTTTGTCTTTCAGAGATAAAATGGGGAAGTAAGTTGGTCTGCCTTTGTACATGGGTCTATGAAAATTTTGGTTGCCATCTCACAGTCTCAGTGAGCAAACTTAGCTGACATAATTTCAGTTATGGAAACATGTTCATAAAGTAGTGTGTATTAATATCATACTTTGTAGCATATCCTTAAATACCGAGAGGTATATTGGCTACAAACAAGAATGAAAGAGCTTTGGAAATGTGTTCTACCATTCACGCAGGAATTTTATATATATTTGCAAAAATACTGGAAATGGGGATATATAAAACTGTATTATGCTGTTTGCTTTGTATGGTATCACTCATTTATCTTTCACAGAGAGGGAGACCAAAGCAAGGAGGCTGAGAAGAATTTTTATTGGAAATCCTTATAGAGTGATGTTAGTTATTAGACATGTAAAAGGCAGGATAATATGAAAATCACCTGCGGAACTCAGATTTTGAATTGTGTTGAACTGTCTCGGGAGAGGGTCCGGTGGTGGGCAGTTGAAGTTGTTTCATCTTTTTGAGAATAATGGAAGAATTATGATGAAGTAGCTCACTGACAAAGAAACAAATGTTATGGAATTATTTTGTGCTGACTCTTGCATTACAGGCACTCCATACTGGTCGCAGGGGGCGCAGAAACAGTACTACATTTCAAAACGCTGTGCAACAAAGGAAGCTTGCGTCAAGACAAGAAATAGATACATGAAATATTGCACTCACATTTGGTACGAAGACTGGAAGTGTTCAGAATGTTGCCAGGGTGATCGCTGTAACTACTACGTTATTGTAAGTTTTTTTTGTAGATGATCAGAAATTTTGCTTTATTTATTTATATATATAGCATTTTTGTAAAAGAACAAGTGTTGATAACATTATTTTCTAGAATTCCAGACCAAGTATTAGATGAAAAAAAGTTTTTGAATAGGAAGTTTCATTACTCATAAATGAATAGAATTTAAGGGATTGTGTTGAACTATTTTACTCCTATGTTCAATGTATTTTATGTGGTCTCGTACTGCGAGAAGAACATAGATTCATAATGTTTAGGAACAGGGGGCCGACGTAAAATATTTGGACCTAAAACTGAGCACGTGACAGGAGGAAGAAAATTACGTAGTGAGAAGCTTTGTAATTTATATCCTTCATTATACTAGGATGATCGAATCAAGGAGGATAATATGGATGAACATATTACTCTGATTATTCAGAATTATAAAATGTAATTTCCTCTCCAGTGCCTCCATGACTGGAATTATGTATCATGCATGAAGACACATCACAAATGGGATGATATTAAAATGGACCTTAAATAAGTTAAATAAGAGAGTCTGAACTAGATTAATCTCGTTCAGGATAAGGTCCAATGGTGGGCATTTGTGAGTAGGGTAATGAATCTGTGGATTGTATAAAAGGCAGGGAATTTCTTTATAATCCAAATGGATATTAGTTTCTGAAGATAGACTGTGCACCGTTCATTCAGAATACGCTCTTTACAGGTGGTGGTGGACACAACTGTTGCTTTTTAGATGTTACCCAGCAGACGGGTCCACCACAACTCTGTTCTCACTGAGGCTTCTCGTATTCATCCGGGCAGCCCTCATGATGGAGCGTTCTCCAGTCATTTACTCATTCTTTTAATTGTCATTATTGTAAATAATGTTACTAATGTTTCTCATGTTGCAATATCAAATTTCCAATTACTTACAGCTAAGTGGCAGTACAGCACGATCCAGTGTGATCATGATTGCCGTTGGAGTGCTTGCTGCGTTGCTGGTTAAGAAGCAGCTTAAAGTGTAATCGTTCCACAGCCGTAACTGGATTCCGTCCACCCACGAGACTAGCTGGCTGGCATTAGTGTCCTGTATTCCAATGAATGTGAGGACAGAACTATTTTATCTCATCATCAGAAGACTCTCATCAAGGCAGCTCATGTGTTCACTGAATCAAAACTGTTTTTTTTAATTTTATATCAAACAACTGACTCATTCAAGAAAATACCTGCTCCTGCGACAAGTAATAGCGATATTCTTTCTGGGTCTGAAATTTTTTTATCTCACTCAGGGCATTAGAAGTGACAAAATTCCTTCTGGAATGGACAGAAATTGACAAAGATTTTTAATTCGTCACGTCCATTAACCTTATGAAATTTATTCTGAATTGATTTTAGTGTCCAACTTATTACCCAGTGTTTTTTTAAATGCCTACCCTCGCAGGCGATGTTAGTCGGCACAAGGTTAACATTACTGAAAATTTATTTATGTAGAGGGTTTTGCCTCAGACTCCCTCCACACACCACATTGCCTCTTAAAGGGACACTTCAGAAACCCACTTATGTTGTATTCTGAAATACAAATATAATGGCGTCATAAAACGCATTTGAAATGAAGAGTTGGACGAAGCTAGTCCATGGAACTTGCTCCAGAAAATGAAATATGCAGATAAACGTCTGATTTTATCTACGAGATGTTTATATTGTGCTCAAAATTCTGTGTTACTGAAAAGTATTACGTCGAAACTGCATTACTCTTTGGACTGCGGCTGGTAAGGTGAATTATGGCTACAGCCAACATTTACCTGTTCGTTACGTACTTGCAAACGGACAAGAATGGAAACAGCTTCGAGATAGAACAACGAAGCGGTGGTAATAGTACCATAGTCATTGCGTCAGACCAAGAGAATATTGCATATTATTTATATTATCTGGTCATGAAGTATCAGGAGTTCAGTTCAGTTTTTTTTTTAAGTCGGTTTCTCTGATGTCTTCTGAAGGGAAAAACAGGTTTCGGATTTTCTGTAGCTGATATTAATGGGTAATATTTGATTTGATACTGAAATGTCGTCTCAACGCACGTTTAATATTTTATCGTGTTTTCGCCCCGCGGTTTCTGCGGTGCCCCAGAGAATCTGGTGCTGACTGCAGCCGATGTTACGAAAGGTTCACGCAATATTTGTGCATTTAGTCGACTACTGACCAAATGCGATATCTCGCTGTAGTCGGAAAAATATAATTACGATTCTACTCCATCAGTTTTAGTGCCTTTTTGCATATACACTTTGTAGTTTATGATTTTTCTTACTGGATAAGAAAAATTGCATGCACAAATACTCTTGTAGATATTTTTATATGAAGTATTGACGTACTTACGATGAGTCTCTTAACCTATTAAATGGATTACCTAATAGTTTTATAATTATATCATAATGTTAATTAAACTCATAATATTATTAAACACATTAAGCATTTGTAAATTTTATGAAAAATGAAAGGTGCAGTGACGTACCGACTTCTAAAGTCGCGCTGCTCGTGCGTTTACAACGTTTTAAGAAGAGACGTCTCCTCTCGCATTGTAGTTGTTGAGATTTCACGTTCTCATGGTGATGAGTACGAAGATGGGTGTCGTCTGGTTTGTCACACCTCACACGTTGTAGTCTGGCACTGCCTGCCGTAAGCTCCTATAAAACGTTGGTCAATTTCTAGGAGACTACGCGGTCCAGAATTGCAGAAGACGTCATCTTCACATTACAATTGTAACAGTTATTATATTAATAATAAAATTGGATATTAATATTGTATTGTTCTTTAAAGATACTGTCACCATAAATATTAAAAAGAATGGATGGAAGATGGTACCTTTACCTTACCTCCGTATTAATGTCAGTAGTTATTTCATTTCCAAGGTTGGTAACTTGTCTGTTGTCGAGTGCCTTAATGAAGGCAAATTCAGTGAGATACACCAGTTCCATGCTGCCTTGGTGAACGGTGAATTCCGTCTGCCGGCAGCTATCCCTTCGCCCCTAGTACCCGTCGGAGAGGAAGTTGGGTGGGCCTCAGAGCCGACCTGGACGTGGCGGCAGAGGAAATTCTCAGCCTCTGCTGGGAATCGAATTCCGGGCAGCCATCCCGTAGGTAGTCACTGGAGAAGAATAGGAATTATGAACCTCATATAATTTTCGTCTTCCTAACCTAACCTAACCTCATAATTTTCGTCTTCCTAACCTAACCTCATATAATTTTCGTCTTCCTAACCTAACCTTATATAATTTTCGTCTTCCTAACCTAACCTTATATAATTTTCGTCTTCCTAACCTAACCTTATATAATTTTCGTCTTCCTAACCTAACCTTATATAATTTTCGTCTTCCTAACCTAACCTTATATAATTTTCGTCTTCCTAACCTAACCTTATATAATTTTCGTCTTCCTAACCTAACCTAACCATCCCAACCTATTTCACCCAACATGTCCTAGCCTGTCCAAATTTTTTTTTCATGTTTTTCCGTCCTGCCCAAAGTTCTCGAAACGTGTGTCATGGTAGGTTGTTCTATCCCATGGCGTCCTATCTCATCCTTGCTAAGTGTACGAGACCAATGCAACGAGAAAGGCTGATATTGAACTGCGGTCGAGTTGACCTTCTTTCTTGAGGACTTCCGCCTTGCAATCATTTTCTGACTCATTGCAGTAGCGGACAGGAGTACGCATACGAGAATAAATGGACCAAGTCCTGACGAACATCTTTCAAACGAATTGTTATAGATAATACTGTAATGATAAATGTTCGTGGGTTTTATTTCTTTCTACGAGTGGGATGATCAAGTGTATGATTAGCTTTTCGGAAAGAAAGATTAATAAGAGAAAATCCTTTCTCCAATCCTTAACTCTGCTTTTATTTCATAATCCAGCCCGTACCGCGAAGAAAACACAACACTTCACCATTACGAAGATCAATCGGTTAACGCTGTTTAAAGAAATAATCGTTGTTTAGACTGAGAATTACGCGAAACATAAAAATGCCAGCCTTGTAGATTATCAAGCAGGCGGGACATATGTACCACCAGGCTTTAAAGGATTATTAATTAAATATTTTCTACCATGATGTGTGTCATACGAGACGGCCAGGAATAATAAGCAACTAATCGTATTTTACATTTATTTTCACATGAGCATTCGTAGAAATAACGCATCAAACAGTGGCCTTATTGATTTATAGTAATTTAAGGCAGAATTTTAAATAATGCGTAGATCAAGACCGCCATCTTAGTTCATGGACCGGGGCCAAAATTCGTGGGAGAAGCTGAGTAGAAACTCGAAGAAATTTATTGAAGTAAGAAATCGACCCAGAATTTTTTGAACATCAAAGGCGGTTTACGTCAAATGGTGTGCTATTCTGCATGGGACAATAAGTTTCATTACCGTACCCCAAGCCAGCTGAATCCATTTTTTAATATAACCGTACCACACATGTATTTCGACAAAGGTGAATGTTTCATACATTTTATCCTCCATGGTTTAATAACGTCAAAATATTAATTTGCGTTTGTATCCTGAACTGTCCAATCAACAAACGAAGCAGGGATTGTGAT